TGTGTTTTCTCTCAGTTCCGAGGTCAACGCCGGGAAAAAGACAAAATGATAATCTCGTTTTCCGTTTTGAATATGAAGGTTGATTTTCAGAAGTCGTCTCATGCCTTTATCAGCGATTACTTAGACCTTTCTTCAAGTGCTTTACAAACGTCAATACTCCCAAAAAACGTGTAATCCGAATGATAACACTTATAAAAGGACTGTTCAACTATTAGCCGAAAGCAAATATACGAGCCCCTTCTCATATACATTTACTACTTAGTTGCATTCTTTTAACGTTGACATGTTATCATGATTGCCTTTTTTCTGTACAGTGTGCACAGTTGTTGGTCGTTAAGGTAAGAACTGCCAATGATGTGCATTTTTATTTGCAAATTGATGGCAATGAGTTTCTTGGTAATATGTGGAGGACTATCTGATCTGACCAAGAGATAACAGAAACTTCAAAATACCATCTAACGATCCCACTGTTTAATTCTATTTTTTAAAAAGTAATTTTTCAACACCTTTACCTACAGTACTAACAAGCCTTTTATATTAATAATAGAGTCATCATTTTATTCTTGCGGTATCCTCTGCTTTGTAAACAGAAAACCTAGCTCTCGTAAAGCTACAAAGTTAGATGAGCCAGCAACACACACCTCTAAAATAAACGAACTTGTTAGTTGAGACAATGCCCATCTAAAGAGAAGAAATGGAACCGGCGTGCCATGTTTTATGGGGCGTGTTTGTACCGAGCAGAGTGGAATACTGTAAGGGAATTCTTTCTGCTCTAAGGCTGACGGTGCTATTGAAGGTTCTAGCTCTAATTAAAATTCTCCAGACGAGTCAGTCGTCGAACAATCTAGATAGTCGACTCTGTTCCATTTCAACCGGATCCGTTTAACTGTTGACAGTAAATTGTACTGAGAGGCCAGATGCAAGTGCATACTCTACCCAACAAAATGCCCATTGTCCGTTTGCCTATACATGGCATACATGTCTGAGCAAGAACACCTTAAAGAATTAGATGTTGTTACAATATATTGTTTTACTAATTGGAAACGCTACCAGTTTGGGGTTCATGATTGATTAATGTTCCCCAGACCAGGATATACAAAGATACATTATTATAATGCAAGTTATGTACGTAGAGGAACGATTTGCTAACTGTAGACTAAACCATGTGAAAATCTAATCTAGATACGTTGTTGTCGATTTGAACATATGATTTACCTCGAAGGCACTGGAAAAAGTGACTTTATGTTTAAGGAAGACAAAAAGCAATTCAGTCTAAGAAAAAGCTGAAACGAAGCCAGCTAAACAAGATTTAGCGAGTAGGCTGTTGATAAACTGATAATTTCCATCCGTCGCAGCAACTTAATCTAATCTTCACATGGAATCGAACTGATTAGAAATAGGACCAGTGAGGGCTGGTTTCTGTGGAAAGCCAGTCTTAGGTTGACAAAGGAAAGTCAGACATGTTTGCCTCTAGGTCGCTTGCTACATGGTCAAATCTTGTTGTTGTCATAAAAAATACCGATTATTCTTATTTCCAGAAAGTTAAAATGCATTTTAGTCGTCAACAATGTCTTAAAAATTTTGAAACAAAACTACTGACAATGTGAAAATCAAATCATTTGTAAGTCACATCTGGAATAGAATTTGAAACAGAAATGAAGAAGCAGTAGCGAAGTGTGTGGAGCCGTAATTATACACTTAAGTATGGTATCATTGGGTTGCCAATCTTCTTGGTAATTTTGAAGATAGAATCGTTCCGGCTTTCTGTGGGGAAATCAAACTAATTATTTTATCCTAACTGAATAGAATTAAATTTTGATGATTTTGCCAATGGTTGGCAATTGCATTATAAGGTAAAACACTTAAAAACAAATCATTGTCCGAGTTAAAGCATAAACAACCACCAGGGAGCTATCACAAGACTGATTTAACAAATTGCAAACTCCGTGAAGTAGCTTTGTTATTCAGTTGTTCGACTTTCAATACAGCGATGACACAAAATAGCCTTATCATACGTCGAAAAGAAATTTCAATGATTCCCTACACGTCTTGATTTTAACTTAGCGACTGAAAGGGCGAGCATGTGTCTTTGGATAACCAAAACTGTGATAGGTAAGTGATGATAGTTGTAAAACTTGAAATTCTTCATGAGATGAGGAAAAAAAAACATACAGGTATGAATTAGGTCGCAAAAGAAACACAAGCAGATATATGAAATTGACAACAGAGAACCCACACCACTTAATAAACTAAGTTAATTAACGTCTTGTTGATGATGTTTGTATGTTTTTTTTATGAGTAACACTGTCAAGAGATCATGTTTGTCTCTGTTGATTTAATAGAACTGAGATGAGACGGATGCACCAAATGAAGAAGATTAACCTTGATGCATGTGTAATTCCGGGATTTTACATTGTACTCCCACTCTAGAATGTTCTTAAGTCCGTTTAAATTGGTAAAGGCCTATCAAATGGCGCCGAAAGGAAATACACTGATAAGAATCTGGGATGGCTACACCAAATGGAAAAGCATAACTTTGTTGCATATTTATATTCTAGAATATTCTATATTTCTTTTCACTTATAAGGGTCAAACTGAAGAAGGATACATCGGTGAAGTTCAGTTTAGCTGAAATCTGAACATGTGAAGTTTCTGACACATGTTATAAAGTAAATTTAAAAAAGGCAGAGAAAGTAGTCCCTAAAATGATAATAAGACATTGAAGTGCATTTAAACATTGAAGAAATCATGATACTATATCCTTGAATATCAATCGAATAGTGCCCTCGAATTACTATGCCACAAATTGGGGCCAACCTGTCTGGTTGAAAGGAAACATCTTCTCCTACACAAGGAAGTATAAACTGTACGCTTTACTACAACATATTTTCTATGCAATTGAACTAAAACATATCTGAGTCAACTGAACTAAAGAATATCTGGGTAAAAGGTGTTAAAAGATAAATCATAAAGCAACTGGGTTGTTTTTCCGGAATGTTCTACCATGCATTTCTGATGTCAGTAATTAGACAATAATAATAATACCCCTTTCATCTTCTAACAGTTTTCCTTCTTTTGAATACGCTTTGGTCAAAAGGTTAGCCTGAAATCCTTTTAGTCTTGACCGCACGCACGAATAGCACTTTAATCAGTGGCATTCTGTCATTCAATATAACCAACAACAAATGCACGAGAGTTTGCATATCACTTGATCATTACTGTGCATTTTAACTGCTATAAAAAATTTCCATGTGCAATTATTCTGTACACTAGGGATCACGAAATGCTAAAAAAAATGGAAATGCTAATAAAGTATATAATATGATTGAGTAAAAATCCTATCCTATCCTCCTATCCTATATCTCTTTATGCCATGAAGCACATAAGCCTTTGATTGAGTAAAAATATTAACAACTAATTTGGGCAATAGTCGATAACTTTGAAACCCTTTGGAATCAATCTTACGACCTTCAGTTTCTAGAAGAATACTTTTCTGTAGCCCATACCATGCTCCACAAATATGGTAAGCGTTTCCGTAATTTTTGGGGCGTCTTTAATTTCTATTTTATTTTAGTTTTCTGTATGTTTTATTTTTATTTTTATTTTTTTATTCCACTCGCTCTCATTGGATATGATACGATCATTATTACATTTTTAAATATTTCCTCCTGTTTTAAAAAGCAGGAGGAAGACCGATCTAGTGGCAACAAGAGAGAAGACGAATGTCTGAAGATATTATCGCACATGATTTAAGTGGCCAAATAAGCTGTGAAGTCCTTCTTATTCTCTCTTTTCAAAACAACATTTCGAATGTGACTCTTTCTTCTCATTTTGCGCGCGTGCTCAATTTTTAAAACAGATGAATGCGAGAGCGCAGATTTGCATTCGGCCAATTAGGTATTTAAAACATAATAAACATGATGGAAAGTGTCATCCATTTTCGGTATAGTAACACGTCAACTTTGACAACACAGTGTCTACTCAGTAATACACTAGCAAAGCAAATATCTTGAACTTCATTTTTAGTAGTTTTTCTCGTTTTTGAGTAAGAAATAAGAGCAATTACTGTTCTCAATATTCTTTAAGCATTGAGTAACGTTTAGGATTAACAGTCGTTACCTTCTATTCTCCGATGTTGTAAGCCTGCGTCAAAGGTTTTCTCTCCAGAATGGAAACACACCTCAGCCTTGAACGTCTTAGCTTATCTCTCATTAGCTTCCATTAACTTGTTAAAGGCTCTGTGCTCTTTACCACTATGAAGGGGAAAATAGTTTCCACCAAGCAGATCAACTTCCAAGTCGCTGTTATCATTAAACAAAATTTGCCACCTTCTAAGTTTATTCATACTAGTCACACAAAAATGACCGTCGCTAGATCGTATGTATGAAATGTTTCGAAATATTACTCTTGAGGAAATTAATGTTTTTGTTTATCTGGTTTAGAAAATCTCGCCAAAGTGACAAAAAGCTTTTTATTCAGTCCACCTGTCCCTCGGGATCATGAAATATATTCACGCCATGCAGGACACGATTCTCTTGCTTCATCTGAATCCCTCGAGATAAGGATTCGCTCTCGAAAAACATATACATCTTATTAGAATTTTTGTGTCAGGTATCACTGTATATATTTAATTTGCTAGTTGTGTCGTATCTTGACGAGCCCGTTGGGCGATTCAAAATACAAACAACGAGTTAAAATATACAGAGTAGTTAGGTTGAAAGCGGACCTAAGCCAATATGGCGACGAATTTACTCGATCGCGAGCTAGTATCGCTAGTTAGCGAACACGTGGAAAACGCCCGCACTGCGGGCTACCAATCTTCAAGAGTTAAGCCTTGCAGTATTCAAGTTTCCACCCACATGGTGACCATCATCAGTTTAGGGTCAGTTTTTATGAGATCAAAATTTGGGTGGGTTTTCGAGGTAGCTGACAGAGCTCCCTTCAAAGTTAGCGATAGCTTTAAGAATCGCATTCCTTAGTCGTTATAGAATAACCACCACTTCAAGAACTGGTAGTTTTAATTAATGCTGCAATTTACGGCTATGACAGCTTGTTTAATTTATTCCAGTAACATTTTATATAACCAGTAATACCACTCTAAAATTCAGCGCTCACAGCTTAAATTGAAAGAATACATAAAGTGACAACCCGGTACAAATTGTGCTACATCCAATATTATTTTACATTATGACTATCTTTTAAGATAATAACATGTTTCAATTCTATCTGTTTCATTGATCTCGTGGTCTTCACATTCAACTAACGGTTTTAACACTCCTCTAAGTATTTCTAAACATATATTTGATAATTATATAGCTTAATTCGATACCATTCAGCATTCCATGATCTATCATAAAAAGATCGTACATTTACTGACTAATGTCAAGTAACTTTAGTTAGTGAAAGGGGGTGTGTAGCACTTGCTTTGATTAGACACGTTGCTGGAAAAAAGATCGTACTTAGTGTAAAGCTAAGCCGTACTGCTTGTTTCTGAACATTATTTCAGCATGGATCTTCAATACTTACCTGCACAGGAACGGACGATAATTTAAATATATATTAAATAACGAAATCAATCTCAACTACATAACTAAGAGAAATTCTTATTAAAGTAGTCCAGTAGAACTTAAAATTTAACAACTGAAAAACTAAACGTTTAACTTAAAATTGAATAAATGTTTTTCCAAGATTACCAACTGTGGACTGGCCCCACACCTCCAAGGATTCCACGTATTTTTATCAAGTCGACTTCTTTTCATTAGTTAAGGAAAAGTTCTATTCTGTTCACAGACCAGCTTGGATACATAAAACAGAATGACTCCAAGTAACTTTACCAAATTTACTAGCGTCTTTAATGTCCAGCTTGTTATGATGACAACAGGTGTGAGTTTATTTGGTGTTTTAATAATAATGATAATAATAATAATAATAAAAATAATAATAATATTTTTTTCAATAGTCGCGCATTGAAACTGGGTGTGCGAGTATAAAGAATGAAAAGTCCACAAATTCTTTCAAGTACGTTTTTGTTCTCTACACAAAAGCGAATTTTTCTAAAAAAAACGATTGCCGCTTTGTTAACAAAATTACAAAAAGCCCTTGACGGTACTGTGTTCGCGTTATTCCATTTAATGAAATGTCATGTACTGTGGTTCATCCACGCGGTTCAGGTCTTCCTCAAGCAGATTATTCTTTCTTGTTTTGTATGTAACCACTGTGCTGCTTGGTCTTTAATTTAAGACGCTCTCGTCTCACTCTTGCTTTGTTCTGACGCTTGAGTCTCATTCCGGCTTTGCTGTAAACACAGACCCTTGGTAAAACCAATTTCGTCAATAGCAATATCTCCTCGATAGTTCTGACTTCTAACGGCCTCCACCATCAACTAAATGGTAAAATAAAGACAATAACAACGAACATAAAAGATAAGTTGGCAAATGAGGAGTGCGGCTAAGAAACTCCTCAGTACCGTTGTTAAAGTCAATTTCGTCGGTCGCAGTTCTCTGATAAATGGGGTAAGGTGCACATTAGCAAATAGATGAATCCAGAATATGTTATTAAGGCCCTCACTAATAAGTTACGTTTGTATATTAAGTCTGTGACCAGGCCAAGGGATAATAAAAATAACTCAGGACAACACAGAGAATAAATAAAGGTTATATATCTATTTACCACAGAAGTAAATAACACCTATACTTTAAACTGCAGATTAAAGGTGAAATCCTTCAACCCAGATCTTAAAAACCATTTCTACACACCATTATATGATCATAGGACACCCACTGCAAGTTCTATAACATGGCAAAAATTGCCAGGTTTCTTGTCAATCACAATATAACTAGCCTTTGCTAATTAAGGCGAAATCCGATGGGAAATCGGGCAATTTCAGTTTTTAGTGGACAGAAACCTTGCACCAATATAATTTTAAGTATTTTACAATCCTTCGTTTTGCATTTACTAAAAGCTAACGATATAAATAGTTCCCTGAAATATCACCAAAACAATTTCTCATGAGAAAATTTCAAAGTTCAGAGAAATTGTGCAAACATTTCATCATCAGTTTCATTTCACCATTAATTTCAAGTGTTAAAAATAAACTTCAAAATTTGTTCTTGGTACTTGGTGTTGTCAGAAATGATTTCTTGTAATTTAAAGTAGTCGCACTGAAGTTTGCAATACGATGAAATAATCTGTTACAAAGTTTTTGTCCACTTGTTTTACGAAATTCTGGTAGATTCCTTCTTAATTGATATGTCATGAAATTGTGATTACTTTATACTGGCTGTTTCCCTTGATGTTGATTTCAGCCTCTTGCCAGTCTGCTCCCTGATCTCCACTCTTGAGCCATAGCAGAGCAGGCAGAAGTCCTCTACCAAGCTCTTGTTTGTAAACAGACAGGCTGCCGATACCTGTGCCTGACATGTGGTACGCAAAGAAAAAACAGCGGTCCGCGCCAGAACCGTAGATTTTTAAGATGGCTTTGTCTCCCGGTCTGCGAGGGGATGAAGCCTCAATGAAAGCATATTTCCCTGGTGAAACGAAAATTGACCAAAAACTGTAATATATTAAAATAATGGCGTTGGCATAGCTGGATTTTCTAGCGCTTGATACTGGTTTGTAGGTATTTTGCTTCGAGATCGGATTGGCTAATTGCATTATATGCTCGGATCTAGGATAACTGGCCATNCGGCTTTCTGTGGGGAAATCAAACTAATTATTTTATCCTAACTGAATAGAATTAAATTTTGATGATTTTGCCAATGGTTGGCAATTGCATTATAAGGTAAAACACTTAAAAACAAATCATTGTCCGAGTTAAAGCATAAACAACCACCAGGGAGCTATCACAAGACTGATTTAACAAATTGCAAACTCCGTGAAGTAGCTTTGTTATTCAGTTGTTCGACTTTCAATACAGCGATGACACAAAATAGCCTTATCATACGTCGAAAAGAAATTTCAATGATTCCCTACACGTCTTGATTTTAACTTAGCGACTGAAAGGGCGAGCATGTGTCTTTGGATAACCAAAACTGTGATAGGTAAGTGATGATAGTTGTAAAACTTGAAATTCTTCATGAGATGAGGAAAAAAAAACATACAGGTATGAATTAGGTCGCAAAAGAAACACAAGCAGATATATGAAATTGACAACAGAGAACCCACACCACTTAATAAACTAAGTTAATTAACGTCTTGTTGATGATGTTTGTATGTTTTTTTTATGAGTAACACTGTCAAGAGATCATGTTTGTCTCTGTTGATTTAATAGAACTGAGATGAGACGGATGCACCAAATGAAGAAGATTAACCTTGATGCATGTGTAATTCCGGGATTTTACATTGTACTCCCACTCTAGAATGTTCTTAAGTCCGTTTAAATTGGTAAAGGCCTATCAAATGGCGCCGAAAGGAAATACACTGATAAGAATCTGGGATGGCTACACCAAATGGAAAAGCATAACTTTGTTGCATATTTATATTCTAGAATATTCTATATTTCTTTTCACTTATAAGGGTCAAACTGAAGAAGGATACATCGGTGAAGTTCAGTTTAGCTGAAATCTGAACATGTGAAGTTTCTGACACATGTTATAAAGTAAATTTAAAAAAGGCAGAGAAAGTAGTCCCTAAAATGATAATAAGACATTGAAGTGCATTTAAACATTGAAGAAATCATGATACTATATCCTTGAATATCAATCGAATAGTGCCCTCGAATTACTATGCCACAAATTGGGGCCAACCTGTCTGGTTGAAAGGAAACATCTTCTCCTACACAAGGAAGTATAAACTGTACGCTTTACTACAACATATTTTCTATGCAATTGAACTAAAACATATCTGAGTCAACTGAACTAAAGAATATCTGGGTAAAAGGTGTTAAAAGATAAATCATAAAGCAACTGGGTTGTTTTTCCGGAATGTTCTACCATGCATTTCTGATGTCAGTAATTAGACAATAATAATAATACCCCTTTCATCTTCTAACAGTTTTCCTTCTTTTGAATACGCTTTGGTCAAAAGGTTAGCCTGAAATCCTTTTAGTCTTGACCGCACGCACGAATAGCACTTTAATCAGTGGCATTCTGTCATTCAATATAACCAACAACAAATGCACGAGAGTTTGCATATCACTTGATCATTACTGTGCATTTTAACTGCTATAAAAAATTTCCATGTGCAATTATTCTGTACACTAGGGATCACGAAATGCTAAAAAAAATGGAAATGCTAATAAAGTATATAATATGATTGAGTAAAAATCCTATCCTATCCTCCTATCCTATATCTCTTTATGCCATGAAGCACATAAGCCTTTGATTGAGTAAAAATATTAACAACTAATTTGGGCAATAGTCGATAACTTTGAAACCCTTTGGAATCAATCTTACGACCTTCAGTTTCTAGAAGAATACTTTTCTGTAGCCCATACCATGCTCCACAAATATGGTAAGCGTTTCCGTAATTTTTGGGGCGTCTTTAATTTCTATTTTATTTTAGTTTTCTGTATGTTTTATTTTTATTTTTATTTTTTTATTCCACTCGCTCTCATTGGATATGATACGATCATTATTACATTTTTAAATATTTCCTCCTGTTTTAAAAAGCAGGAGGAAGACCGATCTAGTGGCAACAAGAGAGAAGACGAATGTCTGAAGATATTATCGCACATGATTTAAGTGGCCAAATAAGCTGTGAAGTCCTTCTTATTCTCTCTTTTCAAAACAACATTTCGAATGTGACTCTTTCTTCTCATTTTGCGCGCGTGCTCAATTTTTAAAACAGATGAATGCGAGAGCGCAGATTTGCATTCGGCCAATTAGGTATTTAAAACATAATAAACATGATGGAAAGTGTCATCCATTTTCGGTATAGTAACACGTCAACTTTGACAACACAGTGTCTACTCAGTAATACACTAGCAAAGCAAATATCTTGAACTTCATTTTTAGTAGTTTTTCTCGTTTTTGAGTAAGAAATAAGAGCAATTACTGTTCTCAATATTCTTTAAGCATTGAGTAACGTTTAGGATTAACAGTCGTTACCTTCTATTCTCCGATGTTGTAAGCCTGCGTCAAAGGTTTTCTCTCCAGAATGGAAACACACCTCAGCCTTGAACGTCTTAGCTTATCTCTCATTAGCTTCCATTAACTTGTTAAAGGCTCTGTGCTCTTTACCACTATGAAGGGGAAAATAGTTTCCACCAAGCAGATCAACTTCCAAGTCGCTGTTATCATTAAACAAAATTTGCCACCTTCTAAGTTTATTCATACTAGTCACACAAAAATGACCGTCGCTAGATCGTATGTATGAAATGTTTCGAAATATTACTCTTGAGGAAATTAATGTTTTTGTTTATCTGGTTTAGAAAATCTCGCCAAAGTGACAAAAAGCTTTTTATTCAGTCCACCTGTCCCTCGGGATCATGAAATATATTCACGCCATGCAGGACACGATTCTCTTGCTTCATCTGAATCCCTCGAGATAAGGATTCGCTCTCGAAAAACATATACATCTTATTAGAATTTTTGTGTCAGGTATCACTGTATATATTTAATTTGCTAGTTGTGTCGTATCTTGACGAGCCCGTTGGGCGATTCAAAATACAAACAACGAGTTAAAATATACAGAGTAGTTAGGTTGAAAGCGGACCTAAGCCAATATGGCGACGAATTTACTCGATCGCGAGCTAGTATCGCTAGTTAGCGAACACGTGGAAAACGCCCGCACTGCGGGCTACCAATCTTCAAGAGTTAAGCCTTGCAGTATTCAAGTTTCCACCCACATGGTGACCATCATCAGTTTAGGGTCAGTTTTTATGAGATCAAAATTTGGGTGGGTTTTCGAGGTAGCTGACAGAGCTCCCTTCAAAGTTAGCGATAGCTTTAAGAATCGCATTCCTTAGTCGTTATAGAATAACCACCACTTCAAGAACTGGTAGTTTTAATTAATGCTGCAATTTACGGCTATGACAGCTTGTTTAATTTATTCCAGTAACATTTTATATAACCAGTAATACCACTCTAAAATTCAGCGCTCACAGCTTAAATTGAAAGAATACATAAAGTGACAACCCGGTACAAATTGTGCTACATCCAATATTATTTTACATTATGACTATCTTTTAAGATAATAACATGTTTCAATTCTATCTGTTTCATTGATCTCGTGGTCTTCACATTCAACTAACGGTTTTAACACTCCTCTAAGTATTTCTAAACATATATTTGATAATTATATAGCTTAATTCGATACCATTCAGCATTCCATGATCTATCATAAAAAGATCGTACATTTACTGACTAATGTCAAGTAACTTTAGTTAGTGAAAGGGGGTGTGTAGCACTTGCTTTGATTAGACACGTTGCTGGAAAAAAGATCGTACTTAGTGTAAAGCTAAGCCGTACTGCTTGTTTCTGAACATTATTTCAGCATGGATCTTCAATACTTACCTGCACAGGAACGGACGATAATTTAAATATATATTAAATAACGAAATCAATCTCAACTACATAACTAAGAGAAATTCTTATTAAAGTAGTCCAGTAGAACTTAAAATTTAACAACTGAAAAACTAAACGTTTAACTTAAAATTGAATAAATGTTTTTCCAAGATTACCAACTGTGGACTGGCCCCACACCTCCAAGGATTCCACGTATTTTTATCAAGTCGACTTCTTTTCATTAGTTAAGGAAAAGTTCTATTCTGTTCACAGACCAGCTTGGATACATAAAACAGAATGACTCCAAGTAACTTTACCAAATTTACTAGCGTCTTTAATGTCCAGCTTGTTATGATGACAACAGGTGTGAGTTTATTTGGTGTTTTAATAATAATGATAATAATAATAATAATAAAAATAATAATAATATTTTTTTCAATAGTCGCGCATTGAAACTGGGTGTGCGAGTATAAAGAATGAAAAGTCCACAAATTCTTTCAAGTACGTTTTTGTTCTCTACACAAAAGCGAATTTTTCTAAAAAAAACGATTGCCGCTTTGTTAACAAAATTACAAAAAGCCCTTGACGGTACTGTGTTCGCGTTATTCCATTTAATGAAATGTCATGTACTGTGGTTCATCCACGCGGTTCAGGTCTTCCTCAAGCAGATTATTCTTTCTTGTTTTGTATGTAACCACTGTGCTGCTTGGTCTTTAATTTAAGACGCTCTCGTCTCACTCTTGCTTTGTTCTGACGCTTGAGTCTCATTCCGGCTTTGCTGTAAACACAGACCCTTGGTAAAACCAATTTCGTCAATAGCAATATCTCCTCGATAGTTCTGACTTCTAACGGCCTCCACCATCAACTAAATGGTAAAATAAAGACAATAACAACGAACATAAAAGATAAGTTGGCAAATGAGGAGTGCGGCTAAGAAACTCCTCAGTACCGTTGTTAAAGTCAATTTCGTCGGTCGCAGTTCTCTGATAAATGGGGTAAGGTGCACATTAGCAAATAGATGAATCCAGAATATGTTATTAAGGCCCTCACTAATAAGTTACGTTTGTATATTAAGTCTGTGACCAGGCCAAGGGATAATAAAAATAACTCAGGACAACACAGAGAATAAATAAAGGTTATATATCTATTTACCACAGAAGTAAATAACACCTATACTTTAAACTGCAGATTAAAGGTGAAATCCTTCAACCCAGATCTTAAAAACCATTTCTACACACCATTATATGATCATAGGACACCCACTGCAAGTTCTATAACATGGCAAAAATTGCCAGGTTTCTTGTCAATCACAATATAACTAGCCTTTGCTAATTAAGGCGAAATCCGATGGGAAATCGGGCAATTTCAGTTTTTAGTGGACAGAAACCTTGCACCAATATAATTTTAAGTATTTTACAATCCTTCGTTTTGCATTTACTAAAAGCTAACGATATAAATAGTTCCCTGAAATATCACCAAAACAATTTCTCATGAGAAAATTTCAAAGTTCAGAGAAATTGTGCAAACATTTCATCATCAGTTTCATTTCACCATTAATTTCAAGTGTTAAAAATAAACTTCAAAATTTGTTCTTGGTACTTGGTGTTGTCAGAAATGATTTCTTGTAATTTAAAGTAGTCGCACTGAAGTTTGCAATACGATGAAATAATCTGTTACAAAGTTTTTGTCCACTTGTTTTACGAAATTCTGGTAGATTCCTTCTTAATTGATATGTCATGAAATTGTGATTACTTTATACTGGCTGTTTCCCTTGATGTTGATTTCAGCCTCTTGCCAGTCTGCTCCCTGATCTCCACTCTTGAGCCATAGCAGAGCAGGCAGAAGTCCTCTACCAAGCTCTTGTTTGTAAACAGACAGGCTGCCGATACCTGTGCCTGACATGTGGTACGCAAAGAAAAAACAGCGGTCCGCGCCAGAACCGTAGATTTTTAAGATGGCTTTGTCTCCCGGTCTGCGAGGGGATGAAGCCTCAATGAAAGCATATTTCCCTGGTGAAACGAAAATTGACCAAAAACTGTAATATATTAAAATAATGGCGTTGGCATAGCTGGATTTTCTAGCGCTTGATACTGGTTTGTAGGTATTTTGCTTCGAGATCGGATTGGCTAATTGCATTATATGCTCGGATCTAGGATAACTGGCCATGGTGACCGATTTCCGAATAAACGGAGGGCGGAAGGCGCAAGCTCCTAGAAGGGTCCTGGCCATGTTCCCCCATGAAGAAGGTAGAAACTGGTATGGATTCGCGCCTGTTGTGTGTGTTTGTTGCGTCGGTTTTATGTGATTACATACAAGTTAGCCTGTGAACAGGTCCCGGCTGGAAGACCGCGGTTGGAGGAGTCGAGAAGGAACTCCCTGAGAGGTCTGGTTTGAAACACTTTTTCAATACAAAATCAAATTAAAGAAGAATGAGTCGATTACCTGATCCACCAAAACCTTTCATTGGTCCTGTCCCTTTTGAGGGTGTTTCACCTTCCGTGATTGACCAGTCAAACTGGTCATCACTAGCCTCGTTTCTCCATTGACAGAAGCCTTTGTCAAAAGAACACACTCCTGAAATTTGCAAATCATAAAATGTCAGTTTACAGTCACTGTAACCTAAAATGAATATTTGTCAATAAACTCGACTTATCTGATTTTCTAACTGACAAAGATCAGTACCTCAAGCCGAACGCAGACAATGTCACCTTAGTTTCCTCTTTGTTAGCTTTCTTTGTACTGGTGTCCCGCTATTTGAGAACGCTGGAACAAACCTTTCTCCAGCAGGACAGAAAGAAACTTAACCTACTGAGTCGTCTGCGACAAACGTTTTGTCCTGGTGGAACAAATTCTAAGAGGAGTGGTTGAGTTCTCACCTAGACCTAAGTGGCTGTCCGCTTGAATCTCCTCATCGCTGACTCTTGTCATACATCTTCCTGGAACGAATGATATCGAATCCACCGCTATGTCCCCCTCAAACGAGGGACCCCGTACACCCTCAATGGAAATCTGCAACAGAAACAGCCCACGCAATACTCATGTCACGAGCACTGACAAATTGACAAGGTCAATGTTCATCTGTTCAAGTGGAAAACTAGAGCCTTCCTCAATCAAATCCTTGATTCGCACTCAAAATGTTAAGAATGAGAAAGTCCTACGATCTCAAATTCTTACTTTATTGTAACTACACGACAGCTAACTCTTGCTGAAGGCTAGAATTATGATCGAACACGAAGCTTTGAGAAATATAGTAGGAAACTAAGTCGATTTGCTGCCAAAGAGGCCAATTTCGATATCATAAAATTCTAACTTGGCTCCGAAGCTTGGGGGAATAAGACAAAAGAAATTAATTATTCATCCCTCATCCTCGATGTGGTTTCTTTCGTTTTATTCCCCCAAGCCTCGGAGCCAAGTTAGAATTTTAACGCGTTGAAATTTGTCCATTCGCGTTGTAGTCTAAATCCGTTCTTGGTTATTGCATATGTTGAAGATTAATATCATCTGAATATCACCGGTGTCTTTCGAAGGGCATACGTATACCATCTTTTCCACGGAACCAACGGAGCAAGTTTGGCCCAGCTAGTTAGAGCACTTGTCAGTTATGCAGTTTTCGAACCATAAACTAAGGCCTACCTTATAAAATTTCCCAAATAAATTAAATTCCGCTGCCCTCCAGTCTTCTCCTTGGTTACCTATTCGGTACCAAACCACTCTCGGTCTTGAACCTTTTTTACTTATTTGATGAACTCTCAGAGTGCCGATTCCAGGCCCCATCATGTGGTACTTGAACCGCATGCACTGGGTCCCGGTCAAGTAACCACTTAGTAATCTGGCTTTCTCGCCGATAGTGTGAAGAGAGGCTTCTAAGTACATGTAGCCTCCTGTAAAAGATATTAGTTGTGTTTTAAAATCTATTTGTGTCGATTCTGGCGCTAAACGCAAATGATGACGGGGCCTTATCAAATACAAGGCAATTAACACGAAGGTGTACAATGAAACCTCAAAATTCGATCCCAAATTCATATTTCTACATATCACGAATTAAAAGCAACATCACTCAAAAGTACTACTCCATACCTTTCCGCTGTTCACTTATCATACATTAGAGCTAATCCATGGACTTTGACATATAGAAAACATGAACTGAATCATAGGACTAAAACTGAGTTAAAGAATAAGCAATGTTGATGGCATCCGTTCGGTTAGGTCCATAATTTTACAAAGAATACTGGCTTTCTAACGTAGGTTCTGATCACGTTCTTATAACAGAGGGTTTAAGAAGAAACAACTTACAGTAAAGAAAAACCGCAGGAAGTTTTGAAAACTCCAATCAATCAATCAATCAGTCAATCAACCAACCAACCAACCAACCAACCAACGAATGAATGAATGAA